AAGAAAGAAAGAAAGAAAGAAAGAAAGAAAGAAAGAAAGAAAGAAAGAAAGAAAGAAAGAAAGAAAGAAAGAAAGAAAGAAAGAAAGAAAGAAAGCAATCCAGAATTTATTCTTAGTCTTGTGAAGAGACCCTGGGCTGTGTCACAGCTGAAGCTTTGTTGTCAGAGACAGTCTTTGTTAATCAGGTGTTATAACTAACGCAATGACTGGTTTGTTGTTGCACCTCATCCTTGTCCCTTTGAATAATTGAGACCACTGTATTTGCCTGTTATATTTTTTCCTTGGTCAGCAACTAGCTACTAGTTTTGTCCCCAAGATCAATTGCCTTGGTAACGCAGCCAGAGAGAGAGAGAGAGAAAGAGAGAAAGAGAGAGAGAGAGCGAGAGAGAAAGATTTGTGCCCACAATGGCGACTGTAGGTATGCTAAATACCTCTGGTTCCTTATCCGGGAACTACCTCTTACCCTGCTATTGGGCCATTGGGTCACGTGGTAAAAGTAACTTTACAGGGCTGCTCGCAAGTAGGAGGGCTTTATGGAGCAGAAAAACGACAAAGCTAGAAAAATTATTTTCCACTCCAGAAATTAATGATCATGAGCTCGTATTTGATGGAGTCTAACTACATTGATCCGAAATTTCCTCCATGCGAGGAATATTCGCAAAATAACTACATCCCCGAGCATAGTCCAGAATATTACAGCCGCGCAAGGGACACTGGCTACCAGCATCACCATCAGGAGTTATATCCTCCGCGGGCGAGCTACCAAGAGCGCCAGTTTAACTGTGCAAGCATCCCTGAACCTGACACGCCAAGGGGACATGGAATACCCCATTCTGCGCATCTACTGACAGGGAAAGGGCAACCTGCTTCATGTGAAACCCCACAGTTGTCCATGTCCCCCGCCACCCCACCGGCCGCAACCTCCGCCTGCAACCAAGCTACCCCGGAGCATCCAAACAGCACAGCCTCCTCCAAACAGCCTGTGGTGTACCCATGGATGAAGAAAATTCACGTCAGCACTGGTAGGCAACTTGTGTGTTTATGTTCCCTGCACTCCTCATGCTCCTCTCTCCCCTTCCCTCCCTTTATCAGTCCCTCTGACTCCCATCTCGTTGCCAGCCCCTGCTCCGATAGCAGGGAAGCCTTTGAAATGGCACAATTGAGGCGGATTTACGACTCGGCATTGGTAATTACACCCACCATAAATTTTATAGCCGAGGTATACTCAGGGCAGCCGTATCACCATGTGGCTTCTGCTGTTATGTATTGCGCGATGGAGAGAGGGGGAGAAATGAATAAGAAAAAAAATCTGAGCTTTGTAATCTTGCATTAATAATTTAGCTCATAGTTGGATGTGAGTGTCCTCTCATTACGCTGAGAAGTTCTTAACTTCCCATTTAAATTTCTCAAACAGCTAAACATTCATAACCAATAAATCTTTCCAGCCATATCTCAGTTGAGGCCATTCTTGTTTACCCCTCCTTTCCTCCGTTCTCTGTCTCCCTTTCTCTCCTCTTCTCCTTCTTCCAGTGAACTCTGGTTACAATGGGACGGAGCCCAAGCGGTCTAGGACAGCATACACCCGGCAGCAAGTCTTAGAATTGGAGAAGGAATTCCACTATAACCGATATTTAACTCGGCGGAGGCGCATCGAGATCGCACACACCCTGGTTCTCTCCGAGCGGCAGATTAAAATCTGGTTTCAAAACCGCAGGATGAAATGGAAAAAGGATCACAGGCTCCCGAACACCAAAGTGAGATCCTCCTCCTCTTCCTCCGGGTCCAACACAAGCTCAGCAGCCGGCGCTGTTGCCGCTGCCTCGGCCACTAACACCGGGGCCCCCGACGAACTTACCGGAGCTCAGCATGGCGAGGATATTACCAGGTTATAAAACCACGAACCATTACTGGGGGTAGAATAAGAACTGGTTATTTATAGAACACTTATATATTTTGTTTTCGTAGCTATCTTGTGCGGTTTCCTTTAAGTCCAAAGTTATATAAAATGCATGTTATATAGCATGGATTACTGCGAATACCGATGAATTATTTTTACGTGACACAGGGTTTAATTTATTTGAAGTTCAATTAAAATGATGTTTTTTATTAAAAAATGTTTTGAATGAAGGATGAAAAAGTAGAAAAAAAATATACATTTTATCAAAATGTTATTGTGGGCCATTCTTTTGCCCTGCTGCCCAAGGTGAAATGCACAATCTATTTATTTCAAACAACACTGGAAGGAAATCACTATAATAATAGTTATTTTTGGTATATAAAAAAGAAAGCTGGAACACACCATTGATCTTGAACTTGTATGTTTAGGAGAATAACAATGTGTGAATTACCTCGTGTATTTCAGAAACAGGATTTTTCTTTTTCAATTTTTTGCAATTTAGTTTTGTGGTGTTGATGTTGTGTTTTAGACCGTTCAAAGCAGATTATTGTGAAATGCAATAAACGGAGTTTAGTGTACTTGTGCTAATCATATTGGTCAATAAAACAGTGAGTGTCTACTAGTTTTAAATACGTTTGTTCCAAGTTTATTTTAGGTAAGGTGAGGTCTACTGTTGCAAATTGGAGGAGATTCTTAAAAGTGTACAGATGTGTGAATACTGGACATTTCACGAGGGAAACAAAAATCACTGTGTTTTTAAACTGTGTTTGTCAATCCTGCAGCTCCCTTTTTGCGTGTTTATATTTGCAATGTGTACAGACACTGTGTGTGTGTGTGTGTGTGTGTGTGTGTGTGTGTGTGTGTGTGTGTGTGTGTGTGTGTGTGTGCGTGCGTGTTAAAGCTTCACTCATAATGGATTGAAGTTATTTCTGAAATATGAAAATGAAATAGTTTGCGCTGTGCAGTATACGTGCAACCTCATCAGTCTGAAGGGCATTCAATTAGACAAGCCACTGAGGCCCTCCAGTCCACACTGCACTGCCTCTGCCAGTGCTACAAAAGAAGCTACTCGCTTCCTTCGTCCTGACTTGAACACAAAGATGCATGCGTTTAATTTAGAGTACATTTGCAATGTGTTAGAGATTTTAGATTGTTGTGAAATTATTCATTTTGTAACAATAGTGGTTGCCCTGCTTTTCTATAGTCCTCTGCGCCATGCGACTGGGTTTTCAAATGTGAAATGAATAAAAAAAATAAAGTCGTGATCTGCCGATAGATTCAGTATAATGCGTCGTGTGGTCTTCGTTAAATATCTGAGTGAAGATGCTGATGAAGTACACTAGTTTACCTTTGGTTTTGTTTTTTAAACATTTTTTTTAAATTGATCTAAAGCAGTGCCCTCTCCACAAAAAGGAATGCTGTTGTTTTCTTGTCTGTTCACTCTTTGACTCTTGCTTGTATAAACACTTTGGCTCATTTGTCTGCTGACTCCCCAGTGGGCAGTTTGCCTCCGTAGTATGCTGCAGCTCGCGAGACTGTAGAAACTTCAAAAACGGCGCTAAGGCGTCTCTGTGCAACGTCATCGTGCGACTTTCATCTGGCAGGGGGACCAACTCACTGCAGGACTCTTTGCTGCTGAAAACCTGCTGGACTGATGCAATAATTTGAAGAAAGTCTTTTTAACTGAATCATCAACTGAAGTGCCTGAAGTGCTTTCATTTTGTCTCCCATTTTTCCCCCCTTTTTCTTTTTCTTTTTTTTTTTTTGGGAAGAAGGATTTCGGTTTAAAAATGGCTTGAGTCCAAAGACGCGCAAGAATTTGATAGATTATTGAAATTGTGACATGAATAGGCCTTATAAAATGCCTCGCGTAGTGGGAGGCAAAAGAGCACAAAAGGATGAGGTATTTTCCATCATCAATCTTTCCCCATAGAGCTTTGTGCTCTGTTCTGGAAAACAGCTCTGACAACAACCAGTTTTGATCTTATCAAATATTATGTAGACGGGGTCGCATCCTATGCCACTTTTCTTTTTATTTGACTGCTTTTCCCACAAATGTGAAAGTTAAGTTGGACTTTAAGCTGGACCAAAGAGGTTCAAACCTACTTTTTGGACAGGGCTTTGGATAGGCAGTAGAATAGTGGTGAGACGGCGCTGAAAAATGAATCCAGAAGCCTTTATGTTGCTGGACAGATTAGAGAAATTAATGTGCTCGCCACAGTCCCAGCATCCCTCCAGCCTCTTTCTAGGCCCTGTCGCCTCCATGTCGCGAAGCTGAAAAGGTACTTTATTGAAGTTTGGGGGCGAAATGGTAGAAGGCCGAGTTCACCTCGGGGACACGTTTTCTGTCCCATTAGGCTCATTTCAGTCTGGATGGCCGACCTCTCCAACCCTGTGACCCAACTCACTCTCTATACGTGTACCTTCTGTGTGCGCCCTCGCTGGTCCCCTTCGGCCTCGGCTTTCTTTTCTGCGCTGTGCCGATAGAGAGGCCTGCTGCGGGGGATCACTCAATGTGTTTCTTCTTTTGTTAATTTGGCGGGGTGGGAGCGACGACACTGGACAGCGCTGAACTCTCGGACGGTTCTCTTCCTTGCATCCAGCAGAATTGCAGGATTTCCACACAGACACCTTCTTCTTTAATTTAACAATCTTTCGATCTCCCGTGAAGTCGTTTCCAAATCAAAGTGGCAAAGTTTTGTGGTAACCTTTACTGCAGTTAATGGAGTGGCAACATACATATATAAATATTTTTTTAAGTCTGTCTGAGAAAAGAAGGAAAGGAAGAAATATTGTTTTGTATACGTATTTAAAAAGTTATTTTTTAAATTGAAATTATAAATAAGATGTAAACAAAACTACCCTTTTAGTTCCCTGAAGACCCCATACCCAAACAGGAGCATTAAAAAGAGTGTCTCTTGATGCAGTCACATGACTCCTGTGTGGCTTAAGAGAATAGCTGGTCTCCGGTCAGCACTTACATTCAGACGTGAGCTGCCAATTATAGATGTTTCTGACAGTACTGGGACAGTTGGTCATTTTGATTAGTTTATGGACAAAGACCTTCAAAAACCTTCAAACTTCCCATGGAGGCTCGGCACTTCCCCAAACTTGTATTTTTAGCCACATGCATTTTTTCCCCTGACACAGAGGAGAGCGAACTTCAGAACAGATTACTAATTAAGTTGTGTTAGAAGTAGAAGATGCTCGAAAATATAAGCGATGATGTCAACACTTGAGATATTATTGATGGGGCAAATCACTAGCCGCTTTTTTAAAAATGATATTCGAAAACTCTTATCCGGTTTTGCAGGCAGATTTCAGCGTGTTAGAGCGCTTTGATCTTTCTGGTGTGAGCCAAATATTCAACGTTGATGGAAAAATATTCAACAGCCCGTCTTCCAGGATAAACAGTTGACACTGAAAGCCAAACTAATCTCACCGTCTGTCAGTTGTTTATGTGATAATTCATCCTCCTCATCGTGTCTGTACAGGTGCAGCTCGAATTACACTTCGAACAATGACGACATGTCCCTCTTTGTTTGAGCTCTTGTAACTGAAGATTTGCGTTAAATGGAATGAGAGTGTATGAGGCACAATTTGACTTAGCGTTGCCAGGGATTTAACTAATACACCTGTATTAGGCGTTGTCTGATTTATTATGGGAATAAACAAAACGTGCGGTTTAATATTATTGCTATTCAAACAAAAGGCCAGTCAGTCATAAATCAGTGTCACTCTGCTGCTTTTTGTTTTTTTAACTTTGTTCTTATACACAATGGAAACTTTTCCTCATAGCAACACAAATGTTTAACTGCATTAAATTTAACGATAGAAAATGAATCATCGCGTACACAAATATTTTCGTTTTCTCTTCTCACGTGATCCAAGAAAGAGCGTAAACTTCAAAGTAATACGGCCTTACCTGTGACAAGATCTACACGAATGGATAGCAGTTGAATTCTTTAAGTTTAGAATGAAGTATTTTTGGTTTCACTCCATTCAGCTTTTTAGGTCATGGTCTTTTTTGCCTCTATTATTTTGCCCCCGCCCCCCGGGCTGAATCTGAAGAATTCATTTGATATGAGTTATTGTTAAACTCACCGCCTTTCAGGGATCTGGTGCATTTTGTGTGTTTGAAGTTGAGTGTATAAATTCCTCAGTCTCTACTCAGCTAACTGGTTTCGTCTCTGACTTGAGACTGTTGAATCACACATGAATTTCAGCTCACATTGCACTGCTGCAGGCTGCATGTGCTTTACGAGCACCTCGGGCGAGGACTTTCTCTGTGAAGATATATGTATGAAAAAAGAAGAACTTTGCACACAAACACCAATCGAAATGTTTGAACAAAACCAAATATGAAACACGGAAGCGCCTGTGTTGTGACGCTTGCGCGCTTGATTGCCTGCTTTTGTTGTCTGCGCCGGGTTAAGTGCAAACTGTTTCAAACTCGTCCCAGGTGAGTGTCTTCTTCAGTCACTTTGGTTTGTCATAAAAGGTCCGGGCCGGTGCATTGTTATCCTGTAGTGTGTTTAAACGGCAGCCATGGCAGCTGCATAAAGGCTGAGAGTTGAAACAGGGGTCATGCTGCTATTTTCCAGGGATAGAGAGGCTGTCTCACATTGACCAGCAGTGGGTGTGTCATAAATCCGTAAATCTCTCTCCTATCCGTTCACTCAAGGGAGCAAATGCGTCGGCCTGGTGTGTGCGCGCATGCGTGGTGGAGGTAGAGTTTGATTAATTTACATAAAACTAGATTTTAAAAAGCCATCAGAAATGTTAAAAATGATTTAGTGTCGGCGCTGGAAAACATTTCAAGCAGGAGACGACGAAGCAGCTTGGACTGGTGTCCCACTGTAGAGTTGACATCGCACAGGAAATGATGGCCTGGATAAACTTACGAGTATACTTTCTGTCATCATAACGCCTCGCTGAGAAATATTTAATTAGCCCATTTGCTGCATCGTTGAGGACCTTCGAAATTACAGTCATTTTCTTCCGTTAGAGGTGTCACAAGGGGGCCCAGACAGTCACTAGATTGAGTTATGATTATGTTATTCGCTTTTCATTAGCAAAAGTGTTCTGAATATGCGATCCTGAGACTATAGATCCATGATTATGCAGAAGTTTAGCGAGATGCGGTTTTTATTTGATTTGTTCTCTGAAAATGATTATCCGGTGTATTTGCGTGACCACCAGTTGCATATCATGCAGAACTTTGAGCACTTTGACAGCTGCTGCTGCTGCTGCAGTTTAACTTTGTGTGTACTGTATTTGATTGGATGTTAACGCGAAGGGTCATATGACCTCTGTTATCTAAGATGCAGGACTTTAAAATAAACTATACAATAAGTAAACAAATAAATACCGCGTAAAGCATGTATATTTATCAATTAAAGGAAAAAACGACATAAAATGTCTTAGTAAGGTACTAGTCGCCGGAACAGATTCTATGCAACTTGGCATCGATC